TGAATAAGACCGTAAACCCATCAGGATGTGTTCACTTACACCACACAGTAAGAGAGCCAAGCACTGTTCACAAATGAAAGACTTTGAGTCGCCCCCTGCTGGCCATTATCAAGAATGCAAGATCAAGGCACTTCACATTAGCTTTGCTTTATTGACTCTGAAGATACATCTTGCGAATACAATCCATGTTTCCTATCACTTCGTTACCATCGCTAATAACAGGCGAAAAAGTTTCAGACAAATTAACTTTTTAAAATCACACTTTGAAGCAAGTATTGACAATCCTGGCTAAAAAAAACTCGAAGCAAACTCACTAAGCAATAAGTTCAGCTTCCCTAACATCATCATTATCAGTCCCAGTGTCTTCTATCGTCTCACTATGGAATTTGTGGTGGTTACTTGTCCCCACATCTCAGAGCTGCACAGTAAATGAGAAAGTGCTCATACTGAGGCTTTGTGTGCACAAATAAAACAATAATGAGATCCATATAGACCTGACACATGTGGTGGTGGAAGCACAGTTGGCGGTTTAATAGAGACCATTCATGCTTGTATGTATCGAGTAGTCTGTGCTGTGCGGTCCTGGCGGTGTGAGGGAATGTGTGACTATACAGTCCCAACTGTGACTGAAAGCCACAGGCCTGTAACGCGCTTTTCATTAACACTCACTTTCTCCTTTACACACCACCTTCCTTTGTGCCGTGGGCACGAAAGCCTCATATGGCATCCATGTTTACACATTTACATATCCCGCTATCTAAGGTAAAGAAAACAGGTAATGTCTCACTGACTCACATACTTGCACACACGCACACACACACACACACACAGAGCACTGTTTTAGAGCTATGAAAGAGCTTCTTGTGAGCAGACCTGGTGGACATACAGAAAAATAAACAGTGGTCTTGAGGAGAAACCATTGTGTCATAGCCCGCTCACTGAGTTCATCATCCCCCATCCCGCGTAATGGTCCAATTACTGCTCTGGTGTGTGTCTGTCTGAGGTGGTATGCCTTCTCAACATCTAAACTTCAGTGAAAATAACAGAGGGCGCACATTTCAGTCACACAGCTGCTATGGAGAGACTGGAAGCTTAGGCTTACTTGTTTAACCTCAGTGTCCACTCGGATTAGCCCCTGTGAAAGAGAACACCTTTGATTTAAGACGGCAATAAAGGAGGTCGATTAGGCCAAGCCCAGAGGTGTTCACTGATGTTAACAACAACACAAAATGATCACATTCACACAACTTGTGGCCAGGGCGACAAATGAACTGATTATGACAACACTTAGATGAGGGTCTACACCAGAGGTATTAAAGATAAGGTTCGGGGCCAAGAATCAGCCCAGCAAAGACTCCAATTTCACCCACTGGACAGCTTTAAAAATATGAAGGAGTGGAACTTAAACACAGTTAAACCTTTAACTGTATTTGTGGTCTTTTACAGCTTTTCCTATTGATAGAGACACCAACCCTAATATCCTCATTTGCCACACATCCTACTCCAAGGCAATTAAATAATAGATAAACAATAAAATTACAGAAAAGCTGCAGTTTTTCCACAATTTACTACAGAAATGTATGTTTGTTTAATTATAAAATTAAAGGACGTTTTTAGCAAAGGACTACAGGGACCTTTTCTATAATTTTACACATTTATCATGTAGTTCAATGCTTTAAAGGCCCAATTATCAAAGTTTGATGTCCCTGGTCTACATGAAGCACCAGGGAGACGGTCATCAACTGGCCATTTGTTATTTGTAATGATGATCGTAACAGGTCTTCATTGCATAAAATTTAATTGCAAATGGAGCTTATTTTTAACCTGTATCGTGATATTAGGATTTATAAGTAACTACAAAAACTAGGGATGCAACGATACCAATTTTTACAAACCGATACGATACCGATACTTGGATCTGAGTACTTGCC